TTACCAAAGAAATCCTCTTGTATCATAATACTCTGCCTAGATTTTGGAATGCGCCTTTGGCCATCCCAATATGTCTTTCGTTCTCAGGGTCGCCTCTGTCAAAACACTTCCCAGATATTTAAATTTCCTTCAATGACTTACAAATAAAAAATTATTCACTGGCATTTTAGTATTATGCCAGAATCGATTAAGCCAACCAGTTGCAGGACTTATTTAAGTTTATTCCCGTGTGCCGAATGCAGAATAATCCGCCCTTACAGCTCTCTCCGGTTTTGCAAGCGTGTCAAAGAACCGTACCACAGATAGTTATAGCAATTTACGAAACGTAGCTAAGATGTGGCACAAGGCCGAACGTATGGACCACCAAGTGAGGATCGGACGCACTCCTCAGTCGTAATTAATCTAGTGAGACGGTCTCGGTAAGCATTATGTAACACCGGAATGCCCAAGCACACGTAATTATAGAAGCAACCACCCCAGTTGGACAGTCTATCAGGCATCTCAGGCGCAAACGAAAGGCGACCGGGCCCTCTCACACACGTATCGGAAGAAAGTAATTGACAAAGTTGTTTAAAATCTAATGTTCAATGGGAACGATTCACATTTTGCTTTATTCTACAGTACAAATATGATTGGTTTAATGTAATATTTAAAAAACTTATCGAGTTGAAGCAAGAATATACAAGATAATTGTATCATTTACACTATTCATCGTAAAGTTCAAAAGGGGTCAATTTTTTTCGATAGTTTCTCCCCACCACCATTTTCGTTCTTTATTGTTTAATAGAAATCTTTTGACTTCCATTTTATCTGTTTTTTCCTTTTCTGTCACTAACTATGGGACTATATGTGAATTAATACTTATTTGTGACTAATTCTTATTAAACGTCTTACATAGCAACATTGTTCACCCCTCTTTCCACCGTTTTTTTTTTTTTTTTGCTTTTTTTCGCTTAACGATCAAAATCGTAAATTTAATTTTATTTGTTAATCTCACACGTTAATCTCACCACGTTAATCGATAGATTTAATCGAATTTTCTAAGTTTACTCGTTCAACTTGTTTTAAACGACATTTATTTATATATCTATTTTCGATTTAACACGCTGCAAAAGTTGTAATTTATTTATTTTAATCGTAAAAACAATGTAAATTTCTAATTATTTTAAGGTTGCATCTTTTTTTTTATTTCTTCTTTTATTTTATTGTTTTATTTTTTTTTTTTCTTTACTAAAAGTAATTATCAGTTGGGGAGATGAAACTTGAAAAAAAGTAAAAAAAAAAGTAAAAAGTAAAAAAACAAAACAAAAACAAAACAAGGGGAAAACACATAATTACCTCCCGAGTATCTGATGAGTATCCACATAAAAAAAAAGAAAAAGTAAAAAATCCCCCGTAAACAACTAAAATAGAGCTCACACCATTGCGATTGGCTGTTGCTCAACATCCAATCAAATGCGTGACAGAGGGCCATGGTTTGCTTAATATAAATCAGTGTCTACAGGCTGTTAATTTAGAGGGGGGGGGGCATCAGAGACTGATCAACTCTGATGGGGGTCGACTTGGTGAGGGGAGTATGATGTTTGAAAAACCCGAAACTGCCCAATGACCCAATTAAGAACATCACTGACAACGCCCCCTAGCGCTAAAATGCGTATATTCAAAGTAATTTCACATTGTTCAGACTGTTGTCCTTATCATTTTTGCTATATTAACCACGTTTCGGCCTTTTACGCTACGGCCTTCTTCAGGTGATATACGTCGGAATTTCGAACCGAACCATTTATTTAGTCCAGAGTGTAGATCGTTCTATATCTAATCTCCCAGACCACATGCACTAAATAAAAGCTTCGGTTCGATATTCCGACGTTTCTATACCTCATCTCAGAAATACACACAGATGTTGATCTGTTTCATATTTTTAAGGTAGAACGCTGTAGGAAATTTGCATCTAATTTTGAAATATTTTGACTGTATGATTAAACTGGCAAAAGCAACAAGAGAAGGAACAAGGAGATTCTTCCGCTCCGCGCCACCATTTCAATGCGAATTCTCGTTCGTCCGATTGATTGGCTAAAAAGGAATTTAGGGTGTGATATCTTGTGCATTGACAATTAAAAAGGATGAATAGTTCACAGAGAAATTCGTTTCGTTTTTTTTTTTTTTTTTTTTTTCTCGAAAATTTACCAAAAATGCAGATCACTTATTTTCTGCAGGTGCCGTTTTTGGAATTGGAATTACACAAAGAATCGAAAGTGCGAAGCGAAAATACCGACAAAGTCAGCAAACAGACCATTGAATTAACAGAAGTGGAATCACCTGTGCAGGTGAACAGCAATTGCTATACATATAAACACGCCGATTGCCTTTTCGTGAACGCTTTGTTGTATAAGCAGACCGGAAGAGAAAACAAACAAGTGATATTTTCTATCTGTATCAATGGATAATTTTGGGAACTTAACAGTCCAGGCATAGAATCGAAAATGGTTGCATTATCGAG